CTTTCAAGATCTTTTCAACTGTAGTCAGCAGGAGGTGATCCCCAATAGCAGAGATTGATCCCCATAAGGGAGAGCACTATGTGGTATAGAATTATACCCTGTGCCTGGTATGGAGGGGAATGATTAGGGACTAGGTCCATCTAGAAAACCTGGAGTCTGACTAGAAAGGTACCATTGTGAGTAAAGTGTTCTCCAAGCTTTCAAAGCTGGTCCCAGTGCTCCTGCTGGAGGTATGCCCCTCACCTTGTCAGCTGATGACTGAGGGGTGGTCACTTGGCCAGGTGGTGGAGGGTTTAGGCCAGAGGCTTTTCTGTCTGATGTGCCCAGTGTGGATGCTGGCTCACCTAGAATGGATGTTGCTGCCACTAATTCTCCTCCACTGCCTCCATTTGTCCCCTGAATGCTGCAATCCACTGTAGTGCTTGGTCATGCCTTCTGGCTCAAAACTGAGGCGTCAGGAACAGCTACACACTGCTCCTCTATTATCACCTTGTTTGAGTGCGAGCTATAGACTGAGAGGGTAGCTCTGAATAGGGCGTAGTAGCAAAATGACAAAAGGTGACATCATTCCTGCCTGACCATCACGGAAATTCAAGGGGGAGGAGCCAAGGATAGGGCAGGAGGGGGCGGAGTTAGAGAGACAGTTAAACAGTTAGAGAGACAGTTGGAGATGAAAAATGACAGTTAGGGTTTAGAAGTGAGAAGAAGAGGGTTGGAGATTTGAGCTGGGAGTGTTAGGAGAGGAAATTGAGAAGTTTAAAAAATATTGAACAAGCAGGAATGAAAGTATAAGCACTGCAATTGATTGAAGTATACAGCTGTTTGGAATAAAAGTGATTGCCTACATGATCCAATATGTGTCAATACCTGATACTCTTCATACTTGATTTACCTTTATGATTTACTTGTCAATAAAAGAATATTTGCTAATTCAACCTCTGTCCTAAGTTCAATGAGTATAACATAATTGGTATAACATAAGTGGTGCCTCGCTAGACGATTGCCTTGCAGGACGAGGAAATTGCTAGATGATGGGTTTTTGTGAGCGCTATAGCGCTTCGCAAAATGGCTTTCCCTATGGCCGATTTTCACTGGACAATGTTTCGGTCCATGCTTCGCAAGACTTTTTTTCTGGACTGTTTTTCGCTAGACGCAGATTTTGACAGCTGATTGGCGCTTCGCAAAACGGTTTCCTTATGGGCGATCTTTGCTGGACCACGACGATTCATCCCCATTGGAATACATTAAACAGATTTCAATGCATTCCAATGGGGAACTGTGCTTCGCTAAACGATGTTTTCACAAGACAGCTATTTTGATGGAATGGATTAACATCATTTAGCAATGCACCACTGTACCTGGTGGCAGCGTGAAGGAAAAGGGTGTGATCCGTTGTGAGGGCCAAATAAATAGGGGCAACAAGGTAGATTGCCACAAGCCCCTGGGAGGAAAATATATATCTCTGATTACAGGGTGCAGTCACAGTTGAAGATGCTCCAGAAGGGTGCAGGCTTTCTAAAATGGCAATGCAATTCAACATCATATCATGCAACAGTCTCACTCAGCCATTCAATGGGCCTTGGAACTCCCTATGGGACCTCTTAGCTGTAGCTTAACCCACAGTCACTTTAATAAGTGCCTTTTCTCATTCTGGACTGCTAAGCTTTGGCAGAATGGCAAAATAATTGGGCCAATCCTCATTCTCAGAAGAAGAAATACCTGGACGTGATAGAGCCGAGGCCTTTTGCTTTCTGGGTTGCATGCCTTTTTTTCAGCCCTGATCCTTCTTGCACCTGATTATTTGTTCCTTGGATGTAGCCAAAACTACCTGGTTATATACAGTATTCTTTCCTTCTTGTCTTCTTTTTTTAATTATAACACTATAAATTGCAGATTTTTCAATTTTTTAAAGATAGATTTCTTGATTTCTTGATTTATTCATTTATTTTTGCACTGTACCCTGATGATATCTACATTAATATCATCTGGGTCAAAAATCCCTTTTAAATGGCTGCAACCTCCTCTTCCATCTACAACCCAACATTTTCCAAGAAAGACTTCTGGCTTCCCATACAGGAGCTACACTATTTAGGCATGTATCCATGATCAAGTGGGGATTTTCACACCAGTCCTAGTTCAGTATTTTGGAGAAGAGAGTCTTAGCAATTTTCCCTAAGCCATTTTACTGATGTATGTTTCTATATCAGGAAGTGGCTGGTGGTACGAGCCAGATGTGCATGAGGTTGAAGAAAGAAGACTTGATTTATTTACAATGGGAATTCTATGGGTAAGGGATATAAGGAACGTTTTTCGTAGAGGAGCACCGCCAGCAGCAGTGGGCATATTAGTGGCAGGAGTAGGATTAGGAGTGGTTTGGGAATACGTCTATCAAAAGTATCCTTCTGATTGTGGACAAAGCACAAAGTCTCAGAACATGTTGGAACTTCTAGCCATGGACCTTATCCACTAACACCTTCAGCATTTGTATGGTGGGGTGAAGAAAGAAGAGTTGCATTAAACGACTGCTCATTTTCTCGCTTCTCTCCTGTTTCACAAGTAGAGTTCAATCCCATTGGGCCCTGTGTGTTCCCTTTTACTTACAATGGAAAATCCTACTCATCGTGCACAACGGTTGGGGAATCCAGCGGAAAACCCTGGTGCTCCCTCACTAGCAACTACAACGCAGACCGCAAGTGGAAGTACTGTAACGCTTCCGGTAAGGAAATAATGGAGAATTCTATGGGTAAGGGATATAAGGAACGTTTTTCGTAGAAGAGCACCCCCAGCAGCAGTGGGCATATTAGTGGCAGGAGTAGGATTAGGAGTGGTTTGGGAATACGTCTATCAAAAGTATCCTTCTGATTGTAGACAAAGCACAAAGTCTCAGAACACGTTGGAACTTCTAGCCATGGACCTTATCCACTAACACCTTCAGCATTCGCATGGTGGGCTGAAGAAAGAAGAGTTGCGTTAAATGACTGCTCATTTTCTCCCTTCTCTCCTGTTTCACAAGTAGAGTTCAATCCCATTGGGCCCTGTGTGTTCCCTTTTACTTACAATGGAAAATCCTACTCATCGTGCACAACGGTTGGGGAATCCAGTGGAAAACCCTGGTGCTCCCTCACTAGCAACTACAACACAGACCGCAAGTGGAAGTACTGTAACACTTCAGGTAGGAAAATATAGGAGAAGGAAAAAGGACAGGTAAAGTTTAGAGGGTGAAATTGGGCAAGAGATTAGTGTCAAGTGATTGGCGGAAACATTGGCACGGCAACTTATTTGTATTGGTATAGGTCCCTGAGCAAATGTACTCCTGAGTAGGAAGTACTACAAAACCCATTTCCTCATATTGTATCTCCTCGGAAACTAAACATCCGATTCTGAGAGATTCCTGTTTTTAGAGCACAGTAACCTAATTAGGATATCTCTACATTATATCTTGATTAATTATGGTTTATAGTTAGAACTATATTATTAACAGCATTTATATGATTTTGTACTTGGTCATTAGTGCTTGTAGAACTAGAAAACTACTAAAGAGAAAACAGACAGAAACCTATTAATAAAAATAATGAACACAGTTCTGATCAAACTGAGGAAACCATTTCTCCTCTCACTCTTCTATTCGATAATGCATTTTTGACAGGCCATCTGCCACTACATTGTTTCATCCTGGAATGTGCTGCATTTGAAAAACAAAATCTTTACACTGAAACTCCAATGAAGAAGACATTGATCCTTATCTTTGGTTCTCTACAAATTTTTTAGCACTGAATGGTCAGTTTGAAGCAATTTTTTTCCTCCCAATTAGCGTTTTCCACATAAAATTTCAATTGCAAACCATGGCAAGTTCCAAAACAGGCATCAAAACACCGAGGGTGAGTGATCAAAAGTCCTCACCGCTGCCACCATGTAAGAAATGCACCTCTTTAAAGGTGCCATTTCACTAGGGATAGATGCCAAACTCTTGTTCTCATCATCCACCACCCTTTATTCCCTAGGCTGGGTGAGACCTAGAAAGTTCATGATTTGGCAACCATGAGCAGTCTTGTAACCCTAGGTTTCCAATTCCTCCCCTATTTGGGATCAAATACTCTTCGCTGTGTACTTTAAACCCTGCACGTAAGCCATACCAGGTAGGACACGAAAAGAACACAATGATAGCCAACATAGACCTCTTTCTATAACTTAAATAAACGTCTCTGCTTATTGATGGTATCCAATCAGCACACAGTCCTTTGTTCATAAGTCTTTGCCTAACTTCTAACCTTCCAGCATCCAGTCTCCCACTCCCATGCTGGCAAGCAATTAGCATGGAATTCAATGTGTATCAGTCTTGAGCTGTAGCTTTGACTTGTCTCCTCCAAAAGTCACAACAAGAACTGGCTCCCAGGCCCAAATGAACACCCGTGGAACTCCGAAAAACAAGTACTACAAAATATCCTCATATCGTCACATATCCTCATAGGTAGGATAAAAAAGAAGACTTATTTTAAATGACTGCTTATTCTGTCCTTTCTCTCCTATTTGACAACTAGATCTAAATTATAAAGGGCGCTGTGTGTTCCCTTTTATTTACAATGGGAAATCATACTCATCATGCACAACAGCTGGGGATTCTGATGGAAGGCTCTGGTGCTCCCTCACTAGCAACTATGATGCGGACCACAAATGGAAGTACTGTAATCCTTCATGTTGGAAAATGAAGATGCGTGATGAAGGTAAAGTTTAGTCTAAGAAACTGGGTACGATGTCTGTGCTAAATGATTGAGAAAAACATTAGCACTGCAACTGGTGAAATAGTGAATCACAGATGTTTCATTTGAGCTGTCAGTTCGAAAGTATATAGTCTGAAGATACATGGCAGCATTATATAGATGTTTAAATATGTACACCTCTCTTACAAATGCAAAAAATATTTTTTTTTAGCGAATATGTCTTCCAGATTACTCTTACTAGCATGGTCAGTGTCCATGCTGGCCGGCATTTCCAAGAATTGTAATCCAGAAAATTAACTGTCCGAATCTCTGATGGCTCTTTTGTCTCAAAACCCATTATTTAGTTGCAAGAAAAGAACATTTCTGTCTTTGGAGTCCCTTGGGCCTTTTTTTTAGTCCATTTCTGTCTTTGGAGTCCCTTGGGCCTTCTTTTTAGTTAATTAGTTAATGTGGAGTTGAACCACACTTATTGGAGAAGCCAATTTTGGTAACTGTATTTCTTTTCTTTTTTTTCTTTTAGATGCAAGGAAACAATTGAGCAATATCTTTAATTCTTCAATTATACCTGATGACTGAGATATGTGAAAATACCAGTGTTTCTCTACTCTTGCAGAATATGGAATCACCTGAGGGATGCATGATCAGTGTCTTTGCGGGCTCCTGATTAGCCAGTTTGATTTTCTAGTCCCTCTCCAGGAGCTGCCCCACCAAAATAACTGGGAAAAATAAAATTTTAATCTGCCTTTGAGCTGAATGGGGAAGGATTTGACCATTCCATTCTGCAGATTCACTACCAAAAGTCTTCCAAAACTTCAAGCCAGTTTGTTGAGTTATTTTTAGAATGTACACTCCTGGACAATCTCCTATAATTAGCTAATTAGTTAATTTCTTTGTATTCTTTTTTTAAAAAAGCATATGGCCATTTATGGACCTCTCTGTATGTGATTCTTAAATAAACATTTCATTCAAAAATTGGGCGTGAATCAGGAATAAATTTGTATAAATAAAGTCAGATTGCCCATAACCAGGATATATATACTGCTTGCTGCATTTAGCCACCACTTGGAAGGAGGTTGAAGGACACTCTAGGAAAAGGGCAGAAGCCATGGGCCTGGATTCCCATGTGCTCTGCATGTTAATTATCATGTGGGTGGTTGGCTCATATCTGAAATATACAATAAAGAGTTTCCTGCTGCCTGCGGCTTCTTGCAAGCTGGAACGCAGACTCTTGTTTGTCACCAGAGGTGTCTAAAGGTTCTACCTTACCCCCCTTCATGCTACAAACATGAGATGAAAACTGCTTTGCTGTTTCAATTAATTTGTTCCCATCTCTGTTCACTCTTGCTCAATCTTCCCTCTACGTTTCTGTCCCACTGTGCGGGAGACTTGCTCCATGTGTGCAGGGGTGGGCAGGTAAAGGTAAAGGTTCCCCTTGACAATTTTTGTCCAGTCGTGTTCGACTCTAGGGGGCAGTGCTCATCCCCGTTTCCAAGCCATAGAGCCAGCGTTTTGTCTGAAGACCATCTTCCGTGGTCATGTGGCCAGTGCAACTTAGACACGGAACGCTGTTACCTTCCCACCAAGGTGGTCCCTATTGATCTACTTGCATTTGCATGCTTTCAAACCACTAGGTTGGTGGGAGCTGGGACAAGCGACGGGCGCTCACTCTGTCGCGTGGATTCGATCTTACGACTGCTGGTCTTCTGATCCTGCAGCACAGGCTTCTGCGGTTTAGCCCACAGCGCCACCACATCCCATTTGGCCATCTCATGAGAAGATGAGGTGGGCAGGCCTTCATTTAAAATGGGAAGTAACAACCAGCTGCTGATTGCCTGTGCACAACCCTGACAGAGCTCTAGGGGAGCCCATGTGTGCACAGCTTAGAGGGAAAATTGCACTTGCTCCTTTGCTTGTGATCCAAGCATCTGTTTTGACATATAAAGCCCTAAATGGCTCGGGCCCTGGATACCTGAAGGACCGCCTCCTTCCATACGAACCCACCTGGCAACTGAGATCTAGCCAGAAGGCCCTCCTGAAAGAGCCGTCCCTCAGTGGAGTGAGAGGGATGACCTGTAGGTGGAGGGCCTTTTCAGCAGCTGCCACCATCTTCAGGAGCTGGGCCTGCAGTCTCTGCACATGCATCCGCCTATCAGCCCAGTTCATGTTTTTTTTTCCTAGTTTGCAATTTGGTTCATGCCCATCTCTAGCCATGAGCCAAGGAAACTATAGCTGGTTCTTGTAGCGCTGTGACAGAGGATCTGTCTGTGCTGGATGTTTATCAAATGTTCAGCAGTAGCTTATAGCAATCAGATGTCTTGAAGCAACTCTTTTGTTCCTTTCAGAAATCGGTTAATAAAATCTTACATTTTAAGACTTGTAACTATAACAGGAAATAGCTATTGGTGGCAGTGTCTTAAAATAATACCTGTATCCTGAAGGCTAGCGATCCATCCTCTCTCAGTAAATCAGCCAGATTGTTATTTTAGGCCTTGCAGGCATCACATCTCTGGATTGATATCTGCAAGAGCTCATCCATTGTCCTTGTTGGCCAATCAGGAGCTCTTAGGTGTCAACATGTTTATGACATAACTGCAAGATAATAATAGAGGGATCCCATAAATGAAGCCTTACTGCTGATACTTCTGTAGGTTGATCATCTTCCATAAAGGCTGGCTGATACGTAGAACCCTTTTCCTTAGCAGAGTCCCCCGGTTTTCAGATTATTTCCTCAAAGTTCTTTGTTTGGTGTCATTGCTGCATTTAAGTCAAGACTTGGTTAATTAAGACCTTTTTATTTAAGGGACAGCAATGGTGAGTTTTTAGACTTCCAGGTTATTCTGCCTTGCCATGCTTACGTCAGGGAGGGTTCCCCTCCAGTTGGCATCAATCATCATTCTCCCACCACAATCAATATGGCTTTTGCAAAGATATGCCCTGTTTCACTAGCATTTTAGAGTTTTTTGACGGTGTCGAGAAGCTTGAGGGTGGTTGGTAGACATGACTTGTTCCTCTTTCTTAACAAAGTCTGTCACTAAAGACTCCCTGCCAAACTTGGTAGTCAGGAGATAGAAGACATCTTGTTTCACGTTAGCAAGAGAACAGGGAATGCTGGTAGGGTACACATAGTGGCCCCTTTCAAGGTTACTGAGAGGAAAAGCAAATTCCACACAGAAATTGTTAGGAGAGAGAGCAAAAAATCAAACTGCCATGATTATAATGTTGTTATGGAAATGTGTGGCATGACCACATTGGTTTGCCGGTCTTGTCATTGCACCACAAAAAGCATATTATAAAGCTAGAAAATGTTCAGAAAAGAGCAACCAAAATGGTCAAAGGACTGGTACAAATCCCCTAAGATGGTCAGCTAAAATCTTTCAAGCTTTTTTTGTTTAGAAAAAGGGCAAAGAATAAGGAACAAGGATGTATAAATTATGCATGGTGTGGAAAAAAATGGATGCTTTCTCAATGTTTCCCATAATAGTAGAAATTGCTGTCATTTAGTGAAGCTGTATGATGGTACAATCAGGACAGGAGGTAAAAACAGGAGGTATAAACAAGACAGAACAGAGTTAAAAGTATGGGCCTGTTCGCTTACATAATTGCACAAAGGGAAATCACATAAGTGATGCGAGTTGTTTTCCAGGTCCTCCACCACATACCAGATCTTTCTTTGGTCGCTCTGTTTACTCTGCCATTCACCTTGTTACAAATAGTCAGCTAAATGCTAATAGCTAGGGATGTTGGCAAGTCATCCCTTGCCAACATCCCTTTGTGTTGAGGCACAAATCTGAGTCCAAATCTTTGGTACCAAGTCCTGAGCCCCATGCCCCAAATCCGAGTCCCTATTAAAATCAATCTTTTTTCCTCAGAGAAAAAGGAGGGGCGAATGGATTCTGAGTAGCGAGTTGAGCTCAAGTCATTAAAAAAAAAACAAGTCCAAATTGAGTCACTGGTGTGACTTAAGTACAACTTGGAGTGAGTTCCACAATGCGAGTCCCTATCCTTGCTAACAGCACTGCTGCAGATGCCCTTGTGCATGCTTATGTGGGAACTCTAGTCCAGTGATTCCCATCCTTGACTCCCTAGGTGTTCTTGGACTACAACTCCCAGAAACCTTCACCACTAGCTGTACTGTTCAGCATTTCTGGGAGTTATAGTCCAAGAACATCTGGGCACCTAAGGTTGGGAAGCACTGCTGTAGTTGGAGACTGGCCATGGAATCTGCTGACATCAGTTATAACTTGACATTTAAAGGAGAACAAGACAAATTCTTAGGGGAGAAAGCTATCTGTTTCTGCTGGTCATTATGACTTGAAATTGTCCAGAGCTAATATTCTGGTGACACACAAAAAACACAAAGGATGGGGGGGGGGTTTGAGGAAGTTCTGTTCCAGATTCCATGACAACACTAGCTTTCTGGCCCTTAGAATTTAAGATTCAGTTGCATGACTCATGTTCTTTCTTTCACCATTTTCTGTCAAGAAGCATCCTCTTGGTTTGAGCTGCAAGATGGACACATGCCTTAAAGAGTATGCATTGCTTTTGCATGTGTCATTGTCCATAGACTATAGCACATTTAATCAGTATTTTGCATACACTGGAAATGTGCACGCTTTTATCTACGTGTGCTTTTGCCCCAGGTACATCCATGGCTAACTGTTGGTGCAGTGATGCAAGATCAGAAACTGTGTAGTTAGTTAGACTGAAGAAGTGCAGCTTGAGATGATCCTTTTTAGCTTCAGATCAAAAATGGATTCTTCACCTATTCCTCCTCCTCATTCAGTTAATGGCAAATTTATACAGACAGGCAGTTCTGTCTGCTTGACACCTCATGGTATGAGTCACATATTTTGCTGCATTCCTATTTTACAAGCGTAGGAGTATCTATAACCTTGTTGAGTGTACATCTAAAACTCATAATGGGTACAAGACCCAATTAGTTTCTTGTGGAACAAGCAGATTGAGAATATTAAGAAGAAATTCTAGTAGGGTTTCATTAGCAATGACCCCAAATTGTGCATTTTGCAAAATGTCTTAATCATTTCCCCCCAGAATTCTGTGTAACAGCCTCTGCAACTCTTTCCCATTTGCTTTCCTGAGCTTTACTTCACTTCGGTTACAGGTATAACAGCTTGAAAGATTAAATTTTAAAAAAGGACTGTGTTACACATTACTTTTTTTTTGTCAAGTAATCATTGCATTGTATGTTGTGAATGTTTTGCACTGTGGTTGTCAAAAGGCCAGAAAATGTAAGAGAATATTCCCTGGTTCCTTCTAGTGCATCCTGGAAATATTTATAAAACATAGGAGACAAAAACAGAGATTATTTCACTTCTCATTTGGGATTATTAATACAGTAGCATAAAACATGAACTATTCCTCTAAAATATCTTAAAACATTAGAAAGTTACTAGGTGTTATTTGTTATACCTGAATAAATTGGGTGGTGCTTGTTGCACCAAAATGGTAACTTTGCATCTATATGTTCCTTTAATTGTTATTCCACATCAAACTAGTTTCAAGCAATTTCATTCAAACTAATTTCTTCCATGATCTGACAGGAGTGAATGTCGTTGGTTAGTTCTGTGGACCCTGGAGTCCTATACTGCCTATAAAAAGACTCTAAATTGTAACAATTACAAACAAAAAGGCATACATCTTATTTTAGAAGAGAGTCATTCTCTGACACAAAACCTCTAGGAGGTCCATTTCTCTAGAATGAGGTGTGCACTCACTACGTGTCATGTTTGTGCATGAAATAATTCCCCCACTTCTGCTGTCGAAGGTGTTAGAACTGTAGCACTGGACACAGC